TACGAGAGAAGCTAGTTTCTCCTAGACGATTATACCGTCGAGATGAAGTATTCTCAGACAGAAAACCAAAGTAATGATAATAGAAATGAAAGGTGTTGGGATCAATATGCGGTACGGCTACACTGCCCGGCGACAGATGAAAGGATCAACAAGTATCTAAGTAAGGAGTCACATTTGAATCAACGGAACCAGACAAGTCATGAACAAGAAATGCGGAAGGGTTACTCATTAAATCTATAATCTGTTTCCTACCAGCTTCGCGCCAGGGGAAACAATTGCTCGAGGGAGAGCACCGTTATGTACCATCGTCCCACGCAAATCTTCAGTCTATGTCTCGTCTCTTTGATCATTACCATTTTGATGAATAAGGAAAAAAGTACAAACAGGGCCCGGTCGAGATGACGGGGGATCCTGTTGCTCACAGCCCGCAGTCCACCCATGAAAGAACCTCTCTTCGGGCTCCCCCCTCTCTCAAATCAACGCCGAGAATGCAATGCCATCACATGGAGACCAGATCCCGGACCGCGAGGCAACCCTTCGCTCTACCATCGCTCACAACACAAAAAGAAAATTGAATACCAATCATGACACCTTCTCAATCAACTACCATTGATCGTTTTGGCGCCGCCTTGCTGACCCACGGAAGTAGTCGTATTGGGTCGGATCTGGGTCGGGCGTCTCGGCGTCAGCCTGAGGAAGTCCACTATACCCCCTCGGTCCGCCGCCCAGGGCGCCAACACTCGGTCCACCCGTGGGTGCGCTCATCGGCATACCTGCGGCATTTCTCACGAGCGCCGTATCGCTGCCGTTGCTGTTGATGGTGTACAGGGGGCTACGGGACCGCTCGCCCATGGTCGCTTGTTGAGCGAAGCCAGCTTGGGGCGGCCCCATGGTAGGGGACTGACGGCCGCTTCCAGTTGGCGACATGTACCCGGCAGGCGGAGTAGGCCTAGAACCGGACATGTCGCGGCGCTGACCTGTCATGCCGCCCTGCAAAGCAGCATTCGTGGGCGTTCCGGGGCGAGAGCCGAAATCGGACATTGATCCAGGGGTGCCGGGGCGCATGATGTCAGGATCCCTTCCAAAGATGTCGCCTTGGCCATGCTCCTCTGCGAATTCCGCTCTGTTCTTGTAGAATTCGAAATCCAGGTTGGACTCGGAAACGAACTCGAAACCGGGAATACCGGCTGACTTGCCAGGCTTGCCAGACTTCATGGGATCCAACGCGTACACGTCCGAGTATCCAGAAACACTCATCATGTCGCCAGTGTTGACATCTCTTCCGTCCGAAAGGCGACCCTTGTACACGACATGCAAGTAAGGCTGGGCCTTCTGATGCACCATCGGAGTGATGAGAGGCTTGTACAAGGCCGGGTGGCCGAAACGCGAAGCCAGGCGCTCACTGCGAAGGCGAGTTTCCTTCATCACGCCAGCCTCCGGGTGCTTGGCAACGTTGGTGGTCGAGAGGTAATGGATCTTGTCGTCGTACAATCGGGAGCAGACGACCTTGAATATGATCAAGCAAATGGGCAGAGGGATAATGGCAAAGGCCTGGCTGTGGTAGGCCCAGTCGGCTCGCGCCCACGAGCTGAGGAAGAAGACGCAGTTGGATAGGAAGACGGCAAAGAGCATGCGATTGAAGAGCACGCGCCAGAACATGCCTCCGGACTCAGTCTTGGTGACGAAGATGTAGAGCAAGAGGTACTTCTTGAGCCAGTAGTCGATTCCGTAGTACAACGCGGCGGCAGGAAGAACCAAGGGCTGGATGCCAGAGAAACCCAGTGCAACTGTCGCGTAGTAGAGGAAGTAGTTGTAGTAAGAGGCGTACTCAAAGGTGGGAGGTGCCGTAAGCTCAATGAGCTCTCTGGGCGTCGGGCTCGAGAATTTGCGCACGAAGAAGCTGTATATGAGTTTCCAAAGCTGGGCGAGATCGATGGCAGCACCAAGGTTGCGCTGGAGGAGCCAAGTGACCCAGAAGGGACTGACTGAGCAAAGCGCCGTGAAGATGGTGGTTGCCAAGTTTTGATCGATAATGGCCTGCCAGGCGTCGACGCTCTTTTCGCTGGTCTCGCTCACAATGGCCGACACAAGCGACCAAACGGTGCTGAAGAGCGAGAACACGATCAAGTTGTTGAACACGAAGAAAGCGTACAACTTGGCCAGAACGTGCCTCTCACGACCCGTCTTGGTCTGATCTCCAGCTTTCATCGAGAGTCGACGGAAGATCATGGGCAGAACGAGGTAGACCAGCGACATCAAACCAGGAGATGCGATACCTTGGACAATGGACCACCATTCGGGATTGGTTTGAAGTTCCGTCTGGAAAGCGGGCCAGACCTTACCGAGGTTGTTGAGGTCGATGAGGAAGATGGCGATCATGGCGTTGGGAGCGATCCAGACAATGGTAAGCAACGCGATCCAGAGGTTGTTCACAATACGCTTTGTGCGACGAATCGAGGGCGTCAGGACCAGGTTATCCCACAGAATATCGTTCGGGCGCGGGGCCATGGTGATTGTTGCGCCGTGCGGGTGCTTCTTGCGGCTGGCGTAGGCAATGTTGTGCGCCTCAGCAATATCTGCGTAACTGGCAAAGCCATAGGGCATGGTGCTTCGCTTGTCGACACTCTGTCGAACCTCCTTAATCAACAGTTCGAGCTCCTTGATGCGCTGTGTCAGGTATTCGATAGCGTCGACCTTCTGTCCCTTGGGATACGTCGCGAAAGACGGGTCCTTCTTGGAGGGCTTGCACATCGGTCTGGCAGCCGGGAGTTGGTCGGGTTTCTTCATATACTTTGCCAGTACCACCTCCAACTTGCGAACGGTATGGTCATGTTGCTCGATCAGCTTGGGGAGTTCCCGGACGTTACGGGCGATGGCGGTGCGAGAGAAGGATGAGGCCGGCACAACTTCGTCGATGATGGTCGCGATGCCTTCGTCGGAGCATTTGGCTTTGGGAATATCGTACATCTGCTGGGGTCAGTTTGAAGCTCCCAGTGGTACGTCATCCGAAAATCAATCTTACCATGAGGGTCCGGGCGTGCAAACTGTTTTGGTACTCCTCGCTCTCGAAATACTTGCGTCGGAGGCGTAAGACCTTGCGGTAGTTCCACCACAAGAAGCCCATAACAACAAAGGTGATGATATACGCAACTGCGACTTGTGCCCAATACGCATTGCCCCATACTGCAATGGGAGTAATCAAGTCGATCCAGGATCTATCCTTGGTCGAACTGCTCTCGGCAGTGCTGAGGTAGGTGGGAATGAGGATTCCAAGGCCAAACACAGAGATGGTCGCGAAAATGTATAAGCACATGCGAACGAAGCGGAGGAAGACGGTGGCGTCCATGCCGACGTGGTGCACCAGCTCATCCTCGGTCGTATTCCATAGCGGCGGGATCCAGGACCAGATCTTCTTGCCGATGGGCGGCGGAGCATGTTTCTCGTCGGCATGCTTCAACTTGGGCGCATAAACGGACTGATTGTACGGTCGAAGAAAGGAGAAGGTGACGGCGATACCGACAGTGACACCGAGTGAGGTGCCCAGAGCAGCCCAGACTGAGTTCTTGGCGAGCTATATGGCAGTCAGCATCCAGCGTGAATTGTCAAAAGCTCAGTAGTGATGGAGGGTTTACAGACCTGAGAACTGAAGGGGTTCTTCAGCAAGTCCAACAGCTCTTTTCCGGCGTCGGTGCTCATCTTGAAGGTTGAGGCCCCTTGGGGCGAGGGGGGCGAGTCGCGTCTCTAGTTGGCCTCGGCGAGGAAGAGGGCAGCGAGAGATCTGGTTGTTGATGTTATCTTTGCACCAAATCTTCGAAAAATGGTGGTTGAGGGAGAAACTCGGTCGGCTAGTCGGGTGGGTGATTTGGATTCAGGACGATGGCACAGGAGCTTGTTCAACGGGGGCTTCTACTGGTTGTTCGTCGCAAAGAATTGTTCTCGAGTTGGGTCGTCGTGTAATGTTACCGGGCGCACAAAGACCGCTGGGAAGTGGGCAAAGAGGCCTGAAATCAGATGAATGACGTGGTTTGCTGCAGCGAGAGTCGGGGAGAGAAGAGATCGTCAAAAGGGCCCTTGGAAAGGAGCAGCTGGTTCCCAGGCACGCGAGCAACGGGAGGGTTCGATTGGGACAATTAGTGGAGCCACAGATGTCGTCGAAGCGGCGCGAAGAGAGGGAGACGATGGGGAGATTGGAACGACTGGCGGAGGGTCGGCGGGATCGCGGGATTGGGGGGAGGAGGAGGAGGGAAGAGTTGGGAAAAGCGAGGGGAAGTCGGCCTTGAAGCGAGCGTATGTAGGACGAAGTTTAGGTTACGGCACGACACGGAGGGATGGTGAAGAGACAGTGAAGGACTGCTATGTACCTTACGGTAGGAGTAGGGGACGGATGGGATGAAGGAGGGATGGGAAAGGTGGAGAGGCGTGGAGGAGAACAGCGAGAAGGAAAGACCACTGGAGAGGAAGCTTGTTGAGCCTGGAGGATTGCGTATGTCACTCCTGGAACATCCCAGTCGGTGGGTGCGCCGATATCCGGGTCCATCGCTGGAGGAGTGCGGTTGGCAGCCCAGGAAAAACTCATTCACATACATACATACTGCGCAGTGTTACTAGGTACGGATAGGTAGCTGCGGCACCTTACTCCGTACCTTGGAAAGAGAAAAAAAAAAAACACAGCATTAAAAAATATCATAAAAAATGCATACGTAAAAAAACACGGCCAAGGGGATTGGTTCGCCTCAGGTCCTTGCAATTCTTGCGCTAATAGGGTCTCGAGGCTTGCGATCCACTTGATCCGACCCACCAAGGTACCAGGTTGAGGGATGCGGTACGTATCCTTTTTTGTACCTGCTGCTCAAGTCATTTACTCTTCCATTTGACATTGTGGCTATTTGCTTCCTGTCTGCTCACCTCACGTTGGATGGGATTCTGGGGTTGTTAAGTAAGTCTACTATTGAATGTTAGATCTTCGTATTCTAGAATACATCTCACGATGGCAGTTTTCCATGTACAATGCATGTCTTTACATGTCAGCATCTGCAGGAACATGCAACGCCCAGTTGGAAGAACATGAGGTACGTAGTAAGGTAAGGTAGGTATCCAGCCTCGGTACGTACACAAACCAGTACCTCCAGCCAGCTGTTGTTCCTCAGTCTCGTGGACGGAATCACAAAGAAGACGGAGCATCGGACGACCTCATTGGGCAGAATACCCTAAAAACTGCCATCCAAAATTCTCTCCCTCTGTCAGAGCTCGGGACACCCACCACTACTGTACAAAGCACTCCGTCCACAGCACCAGCGAGATGCCGTGCCGCCGCTTGGCTTCAATGGAAGAGCCCAGAGCAGCATGGACCCCCCCCCCCCCAGAAGCACGGGAACGCTTTGCATACCGCGTAGTAGCGCTGTAGCGCATCGGCAGGGCCGCCGCTCGCTGTGGCTGTGGCTATTTTTGACACCTCGAATATGTGTCCCACTCACCCACATCACACGCCCTGTTGCCCTGCACCCTTTTTGTGTAGTGGCAGACGATCCCCAAGGAATGCTAGGCTCTTCGCGGCAAGAAGGGGATGGATTGGTGGTCGATGAATACGAGGCCCATTCAACAAAGTCCTTTCATACCTTTTATACGGATACCATTCTTCATCTTATGCAGGTCGGGATATCACGTATCCGGCCGATTAAGGGCTCCTGTTCCCATCGGCGTCCTCTACACGGCCGAAATGCTCAAGCAGTACGGAGGACCGGAGGATCTATACCTGGAAGAATACAAATACATATCGAGGAAAAGGGTCTTTGCTCGCGTGTGGCATCCGAGATGTGCAGCAAGCCTCCTCTGGTCCCGCGCTAGAGGCGAGAAATGCCATCATTCCACATGGGAGAAAAGTTTGATGCCGCAGTTTATCCCGAAAGAGTTCTAGACGTTTACTACACTGCGCCAAATTCGTTCCGTTTCTTCCTCCGTTTCCAGCATCATGATTCCTCTTGATGAATTTTTTTTTCTTCTCACAATAACCCTCATCTTTACAGACAACGGCACGGATTACTATCCCGTGCTCAAGCGTACGGATACACCTTGCGCCCCCCGTGTCAGGTTAAGTGAAAAAGGGGGGACAAAGTGTCCCCGCAGGACCCAATGCCGAAAGGGAAGTCGTTTCCAACCTTTTGCTGCGTACAAGTTTATAGTGGTCCTTACGGAGTAATGGAGTAGACTACGCAGTAAAAAGGGTTCACATGACAGGCAAGACCCCGGGAGCGACTCGCCGACAGGGCTGTGCATTGAGGGGAGGTCCTTTTGGGGGGCTCTGGGAAGTTGGGGAGGTTTGGTCATTTGTGGAGAGACGGGACAGAAGATGGGGGTTCTGAACTTCTGATCAAGAAGATTGAATTCGCTATCATATTACCACTTCAATAGGCGCGGTGATTAAGCATCAAGGAATCGACCGGTGAGTAAGGTAAGCGAGGAGCATACACCATGCACCACCACGGAGGGATCGCTATCATAGATGGATAGACTCTAGAATAGCGAGAGGAACTCCCTCAATCGGAGCATTTCTTTACATGCTGCTCAGCCACCCTGCTCCTCGGGGGATGATGCATGACATGAGAAATAAGCATTCCTTATTCTTTCTGCTTCAACCCTCCCGCCCTATCAGTCTCATCCACACACACCTTTCACAACATCTGGGTGTTCTGTTCCTGAACAGGATGACACCTTATCTCGTACCATCGCGAGTCTGTAACTGAATACTCTCAACCTCACAGACAAACCAAACTCCGTCGAGGCTTGACAGTCAAGCTGAAATGAGGTAAGCCGTCCATCCTAATCCCCCTCCATCGCCAAGACCACCGATGTTCCCCTCCCGCGACTCCCGCCGCCTTTTCCAGAACAAATGCAAAAGGAAGCTAAGCTACCTTAAGCCACCGTCCCTCTGCCCGCTCACGAAAACGGAAGAAGCCCAGATCCCATCTACGTCGTTCCCAACCGGCCCGTTTTTTTTTTGTTGCACAAGACCCTACCTATCTACGCAGTAAGGCCCAGATCGATCCCCTACGTCACAGAGCTTCATCGCCCCCCCAAAGCGACGGCGGCCTCTACCTACCTATACCATTTGCAACCTTTTCCGTGCGCTTTCCCACCGCCGCCACGACGCCGTACCGTTTGAACTGTAAAACATGTTGAGAGACCTTACCGTCCGCCTCACACTTTCCATACCCAATGGACACACGACAAAGGCGCAGAGTCAGGTACCAAACACAGCACAACGCCACCGCGATCTCTGCGTTTTCCTCGAAACCGCTTAGCGTCCGTGTCCATGCTCCCTTATTGTTTACTTGTTTTCCCAATTTGGATTACCGCAAGTAAACATTCGCACACACACACTCGCACGCACGCCTGGGTCTGAGGCTGAAGGCGCACATTCCTCACGGTGTTGGTCCCCTGTTTTGTTGTCCCAGATAGACGTGATGTTTCTCCCAATTCATCTCTTTTCTTCTGACTGCGTAAGAAAGACGTTTGTCGTCACACATAACCAGGCACACGCGTCCCTCCATCCTCGGCTTGTAAGAGAGACACGCCAAGTACGCCCAGTTCCCATTCCCCATCTCCCGAAGCTTCTCGAACATCTTTCATTCCGGCACAGCCTGTTCCTGAGTGATATGAACCCTCGAAAGGGCTGAAAGTACGCGGACAGAAGGTGATCCAAGCCAGAGGGCAACAGACAAAAAAAAAAAAAAAAAGAGAAAAGACACATCGCGTGTGCTTGCAGCTTCTCCTTCTCTGCCACGCCCCCCCTAAACCCGCACCCACGTAAGTCGACAACGAATTGATCGACAAACCCTTGACTTTCGGGGTGACGCGGTGGGTGGAGAAACCCACTGCTTCCGTCACGGTCTGGACCGCTTCGAAAGGAGCCTTTTCTCGCCCCGAGTCGAACCCCCGCGTATCCTGTAGACGTCATCCCACCTCTTTGCTCCATTGATTCAGTCAAACAGATGATCAGAAGCTATTCCGTATCTGTGACTCGGACAGCGTTTGAGTATCCAAAGACGTTGGCGCAAGTTCCACAAATTGCCGACTCGGAGCACTGCTGCTAGCAGTTCGATATGTAGGCGATCGAGATGTACAAAACCTAACCATAGGGTGCCTATGCGTGGGTGCGTGAGATACTTTTTGTAGATATCACGAATTCCCCCTAAGCTAGAGATACGCGTTGAGAACGTAGCGACCATCATATCAGCTTATCCATAAAACTCACAAGGGCGTTCAGAAAGGGTTGATACATCATTCAAGGCCCCGTCACCTTGCACCATCGACGTTCAAGTGTCAAGTCAAACCATCGAGTTATCAGAATCCATGATATCTTGATTCAAGGCTCCTACCCAGCCATCGGGTAAATTCTTGCCTGCGCCTCTGAGCCTCAAGGCACGTTCTAATCGACAAGTAGGGGTTCGATGGGCTCGCTCACTATTGAAATAGTCAGACTTCCGACTCGGCATTGCACCCTCGTCACTTGATCTGACTTGTCTGCTGTTGACCTATTGATTGTCACTTGTCGTTCTTGACGACCATCAGAGCGAGGACACGGAAGCAAGCAAACAAAAGTTCTTGGCAAATGCCATGATTGCCTCACAATTCTCGACTGCCCGTGTTTCTGAGTCGAATTGTCCATCGACCTTGCTCTGCCATCACCCGTTGCATAAGAAAGACCACAACGAGACTGGTAGACTGAATGTGCAAGCGTCCTAGTATATACAGTATCCTGATTTCCTACTACTCAGTCTCGATACGACGACGACCTGAGCTACAATGACAAAAAGGTAAAAAAGCAGAAACAAAAACCCGCGCCTCCTTTTTGCCTACCCATCATAAATCCGCGGGGTGAAAAGAGAGACGCCCGCCCGGCTGGTCCAAACCCAAGCCTCGACCATCATGGTCTCGTTGTTGCTAGAGTAGTCTGTGGGACTCTTTGACATCCAAGGAAATCCGAGGCGATACAGATACGTGCCTCAGAAGCATCCGGCTCACTGCGTGGCCTGGTTTAGACGGGTCCTTGAGAGCGAGTCTTGCGCTCAGTTCGACCGGGGGAGTGCAGAACCTTTTTGACCTTGCTGGCGACCTTGTGGCCAAAAGATTCCTTCTCCTTCTTAGGACTCTCCTTGACTGGCTTCGCAGCGCCATTTGAAGGGGGTCGTCCAGGGCCTCTTTTGGCCTTCTTCTCTGCGGGCTTTTCCTCCGGAGCAGCCTCGACAGCTTCGACACCGTTAGTACCGTTGGTGCCGTTGGTACCATTGGTCTCGGTTAGCTCGTCCGCCTTGCGCTTGTTGCTCGTCTTGGCCTGCGGCGCGGCCTCGCGCTCTCCAGCACCGGTGGGCTCGGCGTCGTTAAGGGCACCGGTCATCTCGACATCCTTGGTGGCAGCACCATTGGCGGCTTCGGGCTTCTCAATGATTGGTTCCTTGACTGCCTCTTCCTCAACCGCGGGTGCCTTGAGTATCTGTTGCGGGATAGGCTCTTCGACGGATTCCTTAACGGGCTCGGCGACGGGTGCAGAGGTTGCAGTCGTCTCCTCCGCAGGCTGTTCAGCGGGGATAACCTTGGCCTCCTCGGTTCCAGTCGTCGCAACGGGGCCGTCTTTGTCGGGAATCTCCTCGACGGAAGCCGGCTTGGGCGCATCGGCGGTAGCTTCAGCAGCAGCTGGTGCAGCTGGCGCATCGGCTGGTGGGGCCAGTGCAGGAGGGTCCGCAAGTTTGGCGGGCTCGGTAGGCTCACTAGCTGCTATCTCTGCGACTGGTGCGACCTCGGCCTTCTTCTCTTCGACTGGCTTCGTCTCCGAAGCTACAGTCTCTGTGGGTTTCTCATCTGCGGCGGTGGTGGCGGTGGTGGTTGCGACAGTCTCGGGAGCTGTACAAGGGGAAGAATGTCAGCGCAAGAAGGTCCGAGCGTGAGTATAGGCGCGGCGAGGGGGGAGATGCGATGCGCCGGTACACCGAGAGATGATGTGCCGACACAGGGCGCATACATCAGCACCGCTGTACAGAGGCGACGCGACGCCGCTGGAACTTCACGACATCTCTTGCTCACCTTTGTCGATGCCAGCTACGGCTGGGACAGCTCCAGGAACGGGATTGGGGTCCATTGCGATGACGTAACGGGTATCCGGTGGGCGCACAGTGCGCAATCAGAGATGTGGCAGTCGGTGGTGGGAAAGGGCTCAATGGCCGAATTCGAGAATTTATGAAAGTAGTAGGTGATGAAAATGGCTGTGGTGATGCCGATTGGAGATGAGAAAGCTGAAGAATAGAGGGTGAAGTTTGTGGCAGGAGGAAAGACGAAAGGAAGAGAGGGAAGAAGAGAAGAGGTGAGGTTGGCGTCGGAGCATGGGACTCGGCAGAGCTCCTGCTCCTCACCGGCTGGGCCTTGCTGCAACCACACAGCAAGTCATCGCACAGAAGAAACATGGGGTTGGGAGGCAGGAGACACTGGGGGGGGGGGGGGGAGGAACGCTTCTGGTTCCACGGGAGACGGGACGAATCAGCAACGGAAAGGGCGGGCTCGGAACACGCCATTGCTATTGCCTCAGCCATTGCGCTCACAGCTTCCGTGCTGCGAGAGAGAAAGTGTGTGAGTGTGAGAGTGTGTGTGCGCTGTGCTGATCCTTAGCTCTACCTATGAACAACAGGGAGCGGACCTCGAGCGACGAGAGTGAAGCTGTGAGCTTGCAAGGAGAAGGCCGGGAGAAGCAAGGTTCCCCTCGCGGCACATTGGGTGGAGAGGAACCTTGGACCGTCATGTCAATCTGACGTGACTGCAAGCTCCACGGACGCCGATGGCCAAAACTGGCGATCTTGGGATGTTACAGGGCTGGCGAAGGGGAACTAAGGCCCGGTTAAGATCCGGTTAATCCGAAAGAGGCTTAGTCAATGGGTAGAGCTGGCAAGCTGAGTGTTTTGGGTCGAGTCTGCTGAGGCGAGCAGACGCCGATGAGAGCAGCTGGAGTTTAACGGTCTTCCATGTGTGCTGCCATTGCTACCGTTCAACGGCATCTCATGAGTGGTTTCTCGGCTGCTTTGAATGCCATCTTCAAGCACGAAAGAGGCACAGAGCGCTTCGGCGTTGAGAAGACGGTATTGCAGGTCCATCTCAACGTCTTGTAACGCGAAGAATGGGAGGATGGTCAGTCAAACCAGCCAGACCGTGTACTTCCTTCAGAGACACACTGTAAAGAGGAAGCGCAAGCTCACCTCACTCTACAATTCCCGATGGGATGCGATCGATTCCTGGCTGGCGGGCGACGCTTGCCAGGGCAGAACTGCACCGTCGCGGTGGTGCAGCAAGGCGGATGCGGGGAAGGACCAATGGCTGGCCGTGAGAGCAGAGCATCATCTCCACCTTTAGCCAATCGATATCATGTCAGCCAATCAGCACCTCGCAAGGAAAGAACCACGTCTGAGCTTTCTAGACATGCTGCACGCCATCTCTGATCAATGATTTTACCCCGGAAACTCATTTGAGGCAGATGTATGTTGAAGTGTAGACGGAAGTCTTGCAGACATTTTCCATTGTATTATCAAGAAAATTTTCGTGCCCGTAGATGTTTGTGATTCCTGCTTTTGACTAATTCAACAAATCGGCACAACTTGTCTCTTCCATCCTCTAAAACAGCCTCCACTCCTAACCGCAATGCAATACCGACTTGCGAAGAAGGTATTCACTCATCAGCAAATCCAGGCAGCTTTCACCTTGGCTGATGGAAGAAGTTCAGAGGCTCTTCCAAGTCGCAGCATAAACCAATAGTTCTCTCGGAGCTGCAACAGACACTTTTCAAAGTGGATAGGAAACGATCAAATTCAAATGCCATCATCTCCATCATGGATGGCTTTCATATCGAAGGCCGCCTCATAGGTACCTTGTAGGGAAGGTATGTATGTATGCAATGGTTGGTTCCTTCCATGCAAAGGTAGTCAAGATTTGAAGCTTTAGTCCAATTCGGGTAAGAAGCTTGGGCGACAAGCTGTCGAAATATAACGCGAAAGAGAATCGCCCAGATTTTTATCAATCCTCGTGGTTTTATTTTAATTCAATTACTGAGAGTGCTTCGTTTGGTAGGTGCGACAATTGATAGTTTTGTTGGCAATGAAGAAGTATAAAGGCATCCCGAAGCTGATGTGCAGTGGTGCCAGGTGGTGATGTCTGGTGCTCCAGTGTCCCGCCCTGTGGTCCCCCCTAGATTTCAGGGGCTAAATGGAGCTTAGTCATCAGCCACTCAAGGTGCCAAATGGCATTCCACCGCCAAAGGACAGACAGCATCCATCGCCGTGAAGCTTCAAACGCGCAGCCAACTTCACCACGCTCCTTTCCGCCAAGCCAAGCTCGACTTATTGTGTCTCTATTCTCTTCGATATCCCCCCTTTCTTCAATACCGAAACCTTTCTCCGACCGCAACAATGGCAACCAACAAGTACTCGGTCATCCTGCCTACCTACAATGAGCGTCGCAACCTGCCCATCGTCGCCTGGTTGCTAAACCGCACCTTCACCCAGCAGTAAGTGCGATCCCTCCCTTCAACCCAGATTTATATCGTCTCTATAGAAAACCTTGCCTGGAGATAAGTCTACTAACGAACATGTCTCACAACAGCAAGCTCGAATGGGAACTCATCATCGTAGACGACGGCTCTCCCGACGGCACCCAAGAAGTCGCCAACCAGCTCGTCAAAGCCTACGCCCCGCACGTCATCCTCAAAACCCGCACCGGCAAGCTGGGCCTGGGAACCGCCTACGTCCACGGCCTGCAGTTCGTCACCGGCAACTTCGTCATCATCATGGACGCCGACTTCTCTCACCACCCCAAGTTCATCCCCCAGATGGTCGCCCGCCAAAAGGAGGGCAACTACGACATCGTTACCGGCACTCGCTACGCCGGCAACGGCGGCGTCTACGGCTGGGACCTCAAGCGCAAGTTCGTCTCCCGCGGCGCCAACCTCTTCGCCGACACCGTTCTGCGCCCCGGCGTCAGCGATCTGACGGGCAGCTTCCGCCTCTACAAGAAGAGCGTCCTGGACAAGGTCATCTCGAGCACCGAGAGCAAGGGATACACGTTCCAGATGGAGATGATGGTGCGCGCCAAGGCTATGGGGTGCTCTGTAGCCGAGGTGCCCATTACCTTTGTCGACCGCGTCTACGGCGACAGCAAGCTTGGTGGTGACGAGATTGTCGAGTACGCCAAGGGTGTGCTTTCGCTGTGGGCCAAGGTCTAAGGGAGGAGTCTTCTTTGGAAGTGGAAGAATGGACATGGGAAAGGGAACGGAAGAGAAAATTAGAAGTGATACGATACCGAGAGTTTTTGTTTGCTGCTGGACACATTTGGCATGAATTGGGCGTTGGGGGACGACGGGAATCCAAAGTACCGATACCTAATTATGAACAAGTCGCATGAAATCTACAATTTTGTTCAGTCATGTGAAGGGGGCCGCCATATGCCCAACAATTGCTGACTACATCCACTCCGAACACAGCTTGTTACATGTTCCGGCCACCAGTTACCATGATCGTCTGGCCGCTCACATAGCTAAACAGCGGACTAACCACAGCAAGCACCGCAGAAGCAGCCTCAGTAGGCGAGCCAGGCCTCCGCAGCGGAATATCAGCATGCGCATCCTGCTCAGCCGCCCCAGTCGCTTTCTGCGCCTGTGGGATTCCCAGCGCAATCTTCTCACCATCCGGCCCGGTGATAAACGCACCCTTCTCCTTGGCATCCGTCAACCGCGTCTTGATGAACCCAAACGCAACAGTATTCGCCCTCACACCAAACGCAGGTCCCCACTCCTTGGCAATCGTCTTGGTCAAGCCCGTAACACCGGCTTTCGCCATGGCGTAGTTGGCCTGGCCCGCGTTGCCGTGGACGCCCGAGGTAGAGCTGATGTTGACGACGCAGCGGTTCTCGCCGTCTTTTACGCGGAAATAGGGCGCCGCGGCGCGGACGAGGCGGAACGGGGCCGTGGAGTGCAGCGCGATGATGGTGTCCCACTGCTTGTCCGTCATCTTGTGGATGACGCCGTCCCAGGTGTAGCCGGCGTTGTTGACAATGTGGTGGATCTTGCCGCCGCCGAACTCTGCTGCTTTGGCGACGAGGGTGGTGATGTAGTCTGCCGAGAGCATGTCGCCGGGCACGCTGATTGCTTGGCCGCCTGCGGCAGTGATGCTGTCTGCAACTTGCTGCGCCTTTTCTGTTTCAATACGTCAGTGCTGAGCAATTGTTGAGGGAAAGAAACTGGAGAGCCGTACTGCCGTCAATGTCGGAGACGACCACCTTTGCGCCCTCGTTGGCAAAGAGGCGCGCTGCTTCGGCGCCAATTCCCTGTCCGCTGCCGGTGATGATGGCGACTTGGCCGGCGAGCATACCCTTGGGGTAGTTCAGGTGAGATGCGATTTGCGCTACGCGGTCCGACATGTTGGCGATGGTCTCAAAGTAGTTGACTTGTCTTCAATCGATTGATGTGGTGATTTAGAAGCTTGTCAAGCTCAAGTGGCGATATGATGCTATGCAGTATATAGTTCCAAAGACGGAAGTGAGATCTGAGGAACAATTGTACAAGGGTTGAAATGCCATTGGAGCTCCAAGGTGAAGACCCCTGGGCTGCCGAGGTTCCCCGCGGTTCTCATTCCCGGCCCTAGACGAGGTGACGAGGTACCAGTAGTGGGGTAAGAGCCATCGGGTCCGGGTGATGGACTCGCTGGAAGCGTTGGATGACATAGCTCCAACGAGTCAAACTTCAAGGCCAATGGGCTGCAATGAAGTCGACATCTCGTGGGCTGAATGTTTAAGTAAACCATTGGAGTAGCAGAACAGGTACAACATGCACATTAGAAAGAGCATTCTGAATCCTCATATCAATTCGTGGAAGTGACGTTCTAGTGGCACCCCAAGCTCGAGCCTTGGCGCCCCGGTTTGGGGATTAGATAAGATAAGGGGGAAGGTGGGATGTCTCCGTCTCTGTTTTGACGACATGCCTCCTGCGCCAGGCCGTCCCTACATCCCGCCTTGCCAAGCTTCAAAGCCCACCAGTCTACAGCCATGTCAACAAGCGGAGGTCGAGGAGGTCGAGGAGGAGGGGGAGGTTATGCAGGAGGAGGAGGAGATTGGAGAGGAGGTGGTAACAGAGGGTTTCGTGGCGGAAGAGGTGGAGGGAGAGGAGGAGGCATAGTAAGAGGGGGCGGCGGCGGTGGTGCTGCTGCTGGTCCCGGCAGAGGAGGCCGTTCACATTCCGGGCCGTGGGGAAGACTCAAGCCCGTCGACATGGATCCTCTCGACAGTTACGGCCTTCCTTCAAAGGGTGACGCAAGGTATGGCCTGCAACTCTCGGCCCCGTTCTCCACGAACCTATGCTAACTTATGCGTTCACCCAGACTCCTAACCTCCAAGACGCAAGAACAATACTACACAAAAATCGTCGAACGTTACATGACATTCTGCTCCGACGCCGGCGAGCGCGACGAACTCCTCCGCCGCTTCGCCTCCCTCGACATCGCAGACTACCCCTCCGTCTCCCCCGCCGCCTCCCCGAGGCTCCTCGACGACCCCTCCAGCACGAAGGCTCTATCGGACGTAATGATGGCCCTCCGCAAGCTCCGCGAGGGCATCGTGGCCTCGAAACGCGTAGACGACTTCGCGATCCAGGCATACCTCTTCAACATCCGCCTCTCGGTCCTCGTCAAGCACCCAGAATCATACCACCCGGCCATCCTCCACGTCCTACGCACGATCCACCCGGCGCGCAACCTCACCAGTGTAGAGCTGCATGAGGTGTTGTCGTACCTCGTCCTCGACGCGGCGTGTCGGAGGGCAGATTTGGCTGAGGCGTATGCGATTCGGCATAGGTATAAGCTGCGCGATGCAAAGGTGGATGCGGTGCTGGCGGCGCTCGCGCACGATAATTATGTTGCGTTTCGGAGGGTGCAGGGGAGCGTGGACGGGCACCGGGCCAAGTTGCTCGAGTTTGCTGAGGCGGATGTGCGGACACATGTGTTGAAGTGCTTTGGGAGGACGTATTTGGGCGTTGATCGGGAGTGGTTGGAGAAGTGTTCGGGCCAGGGATGGGAGTCGTTGACGAGGGATCACGGTGTTGGGTGGGAGCTTGACGGGGCGAAGGTTGTCATTAGAAAGGTTAGAGCGAAGTGAGGGGGGAGTATTGTTGGGATGGTAGATATGGTGCATTTGATACCCCTGAATACAACAAAAGCGTTTTGAAACTCGGTATGCCTTATGGCCTCTAGCTGCTTGGTAAGACGGTTCGGCCTTCAATCGAGGCTATACCGATAACCTCGAGTCCTTGTTCGTTTCCGTACGATTATCGACAGAGTCTTTGCTGTCAGGTAGCAAATCTATGCGAATATGCGGACAAAGATGGGCAAGATGATGGTATTGATCACCAACGGAATTGGTTGGAATGATACTGGTTACTCAGAGATTGAGACTCGTGATCACTTCGATTACACTTCGTCAAACCATGCCTAGACGACGAAATCACTTCTGTATTTCCTCGAATCCCCACTCATGAAGTTTGAACCCTCCGAAAACGGCGTTGCGTTCCATTCCTTCCGACTGGACGACATCTTACAGTCCATCAACCGAACTAGTGTCCACCGTTGCCTTCGACCTCGAGATGCGGCGTTCAAAGAGCTATACAGTGGCCCAAAGCCAACTCACAAACATGATTCCACCAGCCTACAATGATATCGAAAACGCATGCTTATTTTCGAGTGATTTCAGAACTTCGTTCAGTGTAAAGGTGTATCCTGGGATAGCGAATGGACTAAATGAGAGGATTAGCAGTATACTAAGGTATGCCATATTCAACAGGAAATAAGTGACACAAGAACCCGGAAAATGGGATTAAGGATATGGTCAATGCAAGTGTAGAATGGATGTGTTTTTTCAATATCGTTTGGTGGTCCTTTTTCGATGTCGGGATCTGTGAATATTTCCATGATGCTGATGGGGCATGATAGAAGGCTTGATCTGTAAGGAAGAGTATTGCCGAGTAAATACTCTTCTAGTTGGGGAGTACATGTAGTTCAGGTTTAACAAAAGTTGCCAACGGATGAATCCTAGGGAGGCTACACACCTAACAGAAACGACACCTGATGTAACCCTTTGAGCTCAAGGAAAAGTCTGCCAACCCATCAAGGGGTATACTGCCTCGTGCGTCAGCGTGACTGCCGCCGCCAGGCTGTGCTTCCACCGACGTTAGACCTGGAAGTTGACATCAGGGTGTCCAGCCTACTTGAGCACGACTATGGTGTCTCGATCTCGAGGTCCAGTAGCAGAGGCAGTCATTAGAAATACCCAAAGTAGCTTTCTTGTTTGGAACGCTCCAGCTTCTTTGATCGGAGATTCGAAAAATACACTTGATATGCGCGGCCTTCCTCCATCAACTCATTTCTCTCTTATAGATTCTTCCTACTTTCCGCCTCTCTGAGGGATACTAAATGTATTGTCACTCAATCGGGCCGTTCTCAACTTTGAAAACAAAACAATACAGAATACACAATACGCGGGAAGCCACAATGGATCAAGACAGAGAGGTTCTTTTCCCCATTAGGTATTGCGCCCTGATCGATCCTTCTGACAAAAGTGTCCCTAACAACTGGCAGTAGCGGGGATGACGGCGACCAAGTTCGCATTGTCCTCGAGTGTGCCAACGACAAGTCCTTTGTGGTCCAGAAATCCCTCCTCACTAGGCATTCCGACTTCTTCAGAGCCTGCCTGAGCCACGATTTCCAAGAATCGAAGAGGTCCACCATCCGCATGCCTGATGTTGACGCTGATCTAATGTTCTTGTACCTGGGCTTTGCACATCGACAATCCAACAAGACACCCGAGCACGGGGGTACGTTTGGCATCATATCGGTTGCCCATTTCCTGCACGTCGCCGACTGGACGCGCCTCGTCAAGCTTTATCAACTCCTCGACTTTCTCCAAAATAAGGAGCTACTGAGCAGTGCACGGTCCGTTCTCAGCTTCAATATATTGACTGCACACATCTACCTTCTGGCCTCAGAGGCGGACGGCGCAGAAGTCGACCGCTGCTTCGATGCCTTTGCGAGGGCCTTTGACACGCTCGACGTCGATCATCCAGTCCAGGCCAAATTCCGAGATGAAATGGTCGCACGATTCTGCGAACACTGCCATTGGGATCTCCTTGTCCGTCATCATCACGCTTTGGAGTCCCATCCGGAATTCGTTGCCAAGATGAGCTTGAAGCAGGCTGAGTATGCCGCGTCTATGATGCAGTACCTTTCTGAGAGCCCTCGGGCTCGCGGAAAGATTTCTGGGCTGTGGAGGAGTAAGGCTCGCAACGGGGACCATCTCATGCGCCAACGCAAGTCGAAGTAGAGGGTGATTCTTTTCAACTCAAGTGCCGCTCTCATAACGCAAAACCAACTACAGTTTACACATCTTCGCTCTGCTAGAGAAAGACAGTTGCTCGACGATACGTGCTGGTGGTTGCCATCACTATGCCCGTTCTTACCAGTATCCAGTAACATAGACAAATATCCTGTGTGTCTTTCAACTAGCGTTCACCTTACATAGAGACACGGAAAGTTCTGGTGCATGCACGGGCATCACCGCCAGACGTGGTGAGGGCGTCTGCACATGACATCTCGAAAGTTGGCGATTATAAGAGCATTATGGACCAGTTGGAGTATCTCCCAGGGCAGATGCCCGAGGAGATTTACGACTACCATCCGGGGTATACTTAAAAGATAGAATGTATGTACCTTAGCCGAGCTACAGCGACCAAACCCGAGCCCTGAGTATCCTCTTCTCTTCCCTTACAGGAATGTCGCCTTGAGATAAGTTTGCAGGAAGGTCATCAGGCGTCCATGGAACCTAGCCAACAAAAGTAGCAATCAAGTCCATTTACGGAGCTCCATCAGTTGAATACCTATTCCCGTGCTTTTCACATCTCCTTGGGTTAGTTTCTCGTGCCGGGTCGCCTGAGAAACCTACAACGACACATTTGTGAGATGCGTTAGGAAGGGAGTAAGTAACACATGTGAGCTCTACAAGGTATACTACTTTGGGAAGTTTAGTCCATCCAACATATCATTCCTATTGCGCTTTAACGTCATCAGTCATTGGCAACTCGATTGACAATAGCAGTGCAGTCAACTATCGAAATCGGGAGCCGAAAACTGCCTCTCGGATGAGAACTTTGCAAATACACTTGATAGCTAAGTGCACGATCTGTTGATGGTAAGGAAGATTAGCCATCATTGCGTGTAGCGCTGTTAGATGTAGCGGGTTTGTCGAGAGGGGGGTTGAAGGGTAGAGGTGATCGGTCTAACTTAATAAGTACGTAAAATATGTTATATTGGTAATATGGTTAACTAGATGTAGCAGGTGTTATATGATAACAGAAGAGGGAAGACGTAAGGCCTGCTTTGGTATTCTACCTCATGAGAAAGAGGTCATATAGTTGCTAAAAAGGCGTCTTTAGTCAGGAATGCGTCGGGGTCAGTACTAAAGTAGGGTAGGTAGGTGACTTGATGAAGAACGAGTAGGTCTATGTAAGGTCATATCCAATCAAAGCCGCCACGCAACCTTGTTGAACTTGGCTAGTTGGGCAAACGAGCATAGAGCGGGGCGGTGGATGGCTTCGGCCTATGGTTGTATACGGTTGCACGTGTCCCGGCGCGGTCCGACGGCGAATACTACACTTAAAAAAAAAAAAAAAAAACTTTATTTTTTTTTTAGTTTTTATCAACTCTTCTACAGCCCGTCGTGTTACTCTGGTAGGCTATTTGACAGGACCATCACACACGATGCTACGAATGGCGGAGGACAACGACGGGGCAGCCCTCAGCCCTCCCCCTCCTCTTTCCCTCGCTCCATCTTCTCTCCTTCACTGTGGACGCCGGTCTGCTGCTTTTTCCCGGTATTCGCCTAGCCTAGATTTGCTGTTAGCCTTGCCTCTTGAACCGAAGGGCTCTCTTCCTTACATTGCTTCCACCCCTTGATAGCCTGCTTCGTCGTGCATCCCGAGTCCGTGTTGGACAACGTCACCGGCGGCCCGTTGCCTAAGCTGGGGAACGACTTCGTCGGAGGACATGTGCACTCTCCTATCAGAGGCGTGCATATGTTGTAGCATTCGTCGTCCGACCCCACGTAGATGCACTTGATCAGTCCTGCCGGGCACTTCCGCGCCGCGGCCATCGCTGCGAGGCCGGCCAGCAGGCTGGCCGTCATCTTCCACGAGCTAACCATATTGACGTCTGCGGATGGTTGGTGTGGTCGTTGAAGGCGGGGATTTGCAGTAAGGTTGAATATTCAGTTAGAGTAGGAAAGTAGGGGCTGCCGGAAACTATACGGCGTGCTTGACTGTTGTGCTCAAGATCTACCCAACCTCGAAAGCGCGCTCCTCCTCCCCCTTTTATAACCGGTCGAGAATCGTTCCTGCCTCCATGGGTTCGGCCAGCACGCCTCGTTCACCGTCGGCCTCTTTGAAAAACTAAGGTATCGCCATCCCCGATCTCGCCCATCCCACGCCAGCCGAAATGTGGTGAGAACTGTGTTTAATTATCATCAGACCATATCCGTAGACTTTTGCTCTTTGCAGTCCCCCGGCGCAGCTTAGCCTAAAACAGACCTCCTCCGCGGTCTTATTTTTACGGAACCTAGTTTTCTAAAAGCACCGCAACTAGCCAACGATCTTGACGCCAGGGTCTGGCCTATACGCTACCGCCTATTTCGTCTAGATAGCCGCTCAAGACGTGCGTCTTTCTACTCATAGCCCTCGTGTTACTGGCCGCTACGACTAGGGGCCCATTGGTCTTCTATGAACCGGTCCGCAGTTTCCCCTTAGGCTTCTATGCAGGCTAAGTCGCCGGTTAGACTTCTTGGACTATACCCTCCGCTTCTATGATCTACTTCGTTTACGCCCAATGGCCGATGGCTATGTCCAGCCTCGCCGCGGAAGGCTTCTCGCTGCCCGTCCGATTGCCCTTGCATACGCCCTCCTCTGCGCGTGGACGACTTCGCTCGAAACGCTCAATGTGCAGCCCTCGTGGGCCGCGGCGTCCGCATCTTGGGACGACGAAATACTATACCTGTGCCGTCGGAGAGAAGAAGAGATATAAAGGGGAGCTTCGACGCTCCCAAAGTGCTCTCTGATTCCCTCATCGCTCAGGCCTCGTCTACTCTACCTTATTCCTCCTACCTTCACTCTCCTACCGGTGTTTGCTTCGTACGCCTTGCTTTTCAACCACTCCTCCGATCTCTTACTACGCCACTATGCTGCCCGCCACATTCGTCGCCCTCGCCGCTGCTCTCGCCCCGGTGCTCGCGGGGCCCGTCGCGGGGCCCGTCGCCGAGCCCGAAGGCGCCTTACAGCAGCTCGAGGCCCGCAAGGTCTGCGGCGCGGGTTACCTCGCCTGCCACTATAGATTCGGCAACGGCGATAAGGATCAGTCCGAGTACACCTGCATGTCGCCGTGGTGCACTATCCTTAAGGACTGCAGCTGCCCGAAAACTGCCTCCTTCAGCCAGAAGCCCGCCTTCCTCTTCGATAGCGGCTGCCGTTCGAAGGCTGCCGCCGGAAACCACCCCACCTGTCTGGTTGTCGGATAGAGCGTGGCGAGATGAGGGCTCGCCCGTTCCGCTCGGCCGTTGGGAGGCGTGTTGTAGCTTGCGGTTGTCCTACACCGCAATGGCGGGGCCGGCAGGCCTGCCTCCTCTCCCCGGCACCGGACGGCGAGACGATCGCGCGTGGGGTCTATGGAAGGGTTGGATCCATGATAGTGCGTGGGTCCTTGGTAGAGACGACACTGGCTCCACTCCCGGCTACCAGGGGCGGGCCGCGACCGGTCGTTTCCGTTGCCCCTCAGCCGGCCTATGATCTACCGAGACAAAAGCGTCTATCTACTACGTGCCCTTTCCCCTGTACTTCGCTCTTGTTCGGCACATAGACGTGGAATCTCCCAGCTTGTACTCTAGCTTGACTATCAATAACTTTCCACTCTCGTTGCAGAATCGTGGCTGCGCGCTCTGACTCGTGACATTGTTACTGTTGTGTTGGGTTAGCTGTGGAGACTCCACCTCCGGCCGCTGGTTCTCGGCCTTTGTCCGTGTACCCATGCGATCTACCCCCGATGCTGCGTGATAAGGACGACGGCGTCTTCTCCGGGGCAATATGTACCTGGCCTTGACCATAAGAAGATCACGTCGACATCGCAATCATGGAGCAGTAGTGACATTCTCGTCGTAGCCGATACTACGACTATTAGCAATACGCTTATAATAGATACTAATTTACTCTACACACTAGGCCTCGGACCTAGACATATCACATTATTATAACAATTTTTGTCTAAACTTAACGCTATCGTCCTTATTCTCAATATAACTATCACGGTCTCACTGGTTATGATGTTCTGACCAGGGTGATCATATAGTATGGGCGGCTAGTTTGTAAACGCAAAATTGATATCAAGCCTCCAAAGTTTGCTTTGGTACTCGAGTTTGATGGATATTGCATGCCTTGGTCATGATTGTCTTGTTTGTGTTCAAGTTGAGAGAAGTTTGTTGGAGTTAGGCCACAAAGGGTGGCAATCCAAGTGAGCCTTGCTTTCAAAGTAAGGTAATAAGTAGTCCTAACAGCGTGTTATTCTAATCTTGGCAGTAAAAATGTTGCGCTTAGACATCAGCAGTCATTGGTAACTCGATTGACAGCAGTCGTGCAATTGCATATCCCAATGAACAACCGCAAATTATCTCTCAGATGGAAACTTCGTAAACGCACAGAAAAGCTGAGTGAACAATCTGCTAATCGCAATCCGGGCAATCCGAAAGCGAGCATTGTGTACTGTACCTACCTAGAACAAGACGTCTTGTCCCAGTTTAGGTATTCTTAGCAGGTAAAAGTGGGACCGTTTTCTGACTCTGCAGCCACAGCTTCCGGTGATGCACGGAGTCGCTACACAAGCCGAGCCAATCAGCAGTCCAGCTTACTAACCGGGCATTTCTCGAACATTCCCCTCCGACCTCACCGAATACCTAGCAGAAGCCGGCGACAACCTCGCCTATCCTATTCACTCTAGTATTGCGCTCCGCCGCGAGGAACCACTATCACTGTCAGCATTACTAAGTGCTAGATTCATTCGGAGACTATTGCGCAATTCGCCGTTCTCAAAACATCCATCAGAAGAAAACATGAGCGCGTTGACATCCGCTACGGCGTTCTCGCCATCACTGGAGGCCGTCAGGTTGGCTGCCAGCATGTACAATGCGGCTCGTGAAGGCAACAAAGCTGTCATTGAGGAGGGCATCCTCGACGGGTTGCCGCCGAACCTGACGAATGAGAAGGGAGATACACTGGTGCGTAGCGATGCTCACCTCAGCGGCTGTTTCTCAGCGGAGGGAAGGGGGGGGGGGGATGCCGTCTTCAGCGTCCGAACCGGAGACCATGACGATGGGTTTTGAGTAAGCTTATGGCTAACATCTTGTTCAGCTGATGTTGGCTGCGTACTATGGTCATGCGGACGTGGTCAAGCTCCTGATCCAGCATGGAGCTGACCCAAACAGACTGAATGACAAGCGTCAAAGTCCCATCGCGGGCGCTGTCTTCAAGGGCCTAGATGCAGTAATCGAGGCAAGTTTGCACAAGAAATCATGGGGAGGAAGGACTTCTCATGTCACAGTGCTAACGCTGACTCTGGCAGGTCCTCCTGGAGGGTGGTGCTGACCCAGAATATGGCAAGCCATCAGCGATCCAGTGCCTCACAATGTTCAACCAAGAGGGTAAGTGGAAGAACAAGTTCGAGAACGCACCAGGAAGAGGAAAGGCAAAGGCAGTGCCTCAGGATCAGGCGGAGGAGAGGGCCCCCGAGAAGTTCAAAGCATGAGCGATACTACGAGACTTCGGTGCCTACAAGCAAGGGCGCGGCGATGTTTCCAACTTTAACGAAGACCACAAATTATGAGAGACCATTCTACAGTTCATTCGTTTATCTGAGCTGCCGTAATATTCTTGAACAGATCGTTTGTTCAATCCCAACGTCCACGATGAGGTCATTCCTTGAGATCCAACGAAACCAATGACTCAAAAACCATTCCGCTCGGGATCTCCTTCCACTGCTTACTCTCGTCCAGAAGCGCCTGACTCGCCTCCCACTCCCTTCGGATGACCTGGACATGAGCATCACTCCTCGGCGTAATCTTCGCAGGGAACGGCTTCGGCTGGACCAGAAACCCGTCAGTAAGGTCATCCGCGTTTGGTGTAATCTCATTTCCCTCAGTATCAACTGCTTTCTCAAGACTGAAAGCCCACAACAGCCTCGAAATACTCAGGAACAGCGATCGATCAGCGATATGCGTTCCCTGGCAGAGCCGTCGACCAGCACCAAAGACGTAGTGATCGCGCTTCGACGCGTCGCCGTTCATCGCTGACTCAAACGAGTTCTGTTCGTCGCCTTCGTAACGAGAAGGGTCAAAAGCGCGGGGATTCTCGAACCGGTTCTCGTCCATGTTGATGGCCCATACATTCAGCATGACGCCTGCGCCCTTGGGAATTTTGTAGCCCATGTATTCGTCGTCCTGTATGACGGCGTGCGGCAGGCCGAGGATCGCAGTCGGCATCCAACGCAGGGACTCCTTAACGCATGCCCGTATGTAGGGCATCGAGTCCCAGTCGTCCATGTTCGGGAGTCTCTTGGTACCGCAAATTCGATCCAGCTCGTCCTGGGCTTGCCTCTGTACCGATGGATGTAGAATCATGGCTTGGACGAAGCCAGTCAGCGTGGATGCGGTGGTGTCCGAACCAGCCTCAAGCGCGGATCCAGAGATGTAGCCGGCTAGGGCGTCGGAGAAACCGAGAGTCTTTTGGCTTTCGACGATGCCTACGCAGAAACAGGGCTGAGCATCGGTCAGTATCCTATACGCGATCTCGAATATGGGGCAATGCTCACTTTCGCTGTGCCCTTAAGAACACGCTCTTTTGCATCCATCCAGTGACCAACGTACAGAGCCCTCTCTTCCTTATGCAGCGCCTCAGCATATCTTTTCCCGGGCGACATGAACCCGAGGTTCCTCAGGGGTGGGTACACATCCAGCATAGCAGCCGCAGAGGAACCCACGACCTCGCTCCATTTCTCAACGCAGTGATACAGCCTCTTCAGCTTCTCGTCATGTATGCTCGTTGTGCGGAAGCCAAATACCATCTGCGTCGTCAGCGAGGTCGTGAAGCGACGGATGTGAGCGACAAAGAAGTCGGGCTCTTCCAGGAACCCGGATAGCATCTGCTTGCTTTCGAGGTCTTGGTATGGTACGTAGCCCTTGGCGGCATTGATGTGTAGGACTTGGTGGAATATCTTTCGGATCATGCGCCAGGTTTCGCCGTATTGCTTGTGTTCGTTAGTCCTAAACTTAGAAATTTGTTGGTATCCTGGAAATGCGTCGAGTAACTGACCATCATGACGACGCGGAGATTGCCGCTGACTACATTTCCGAGGTAGAGATCGGTGCGAGAGGAGTAAATGTTGCTGCGTTTGTCCAAGAGATCCTTGACTGCTTGGTCGGACGAGAGCACAATCATGACCTTGGTGCCAAGAATGAGCGAGTAAACTGGGCTACCCAAGACCCCAAAGTTAGTATATGGTTACTCGTACTTCCCAGCCATGTAGGCGAGCGCTCTGTTGAACATACCCATACTCTTTAGCCCATTTCTTGAACTGATGATGCGATTGCGTCGGTGGAATCTGGTGCAAATTTCCGATCAGTGGTAACGTGGGAGGTCCCGGAGGATAGTTCTTGGGCCGTCGGCCGACATTCCGCAGCTTGAAGATGGCAATACCTAATATCGCCAGCGGGATCAGAAACAGGAGTGCCATGATTCGAATTCGAGCGTGGAAGATTCCCGTGAACGGTCAGCGGTGCAAAGTGGAAAGAGCGATAGGGAAGGATTGAAGTAGAGAAAGACCGAGAGCGCGACAGCGAGTTCCAATTTTAATTGCCAGCCATCATCTGCTCTGCTGACTTCTATGCGGGGAGTCGACGGCAGCTCACATATCATCATCTAGGCTTAGTCGTGCCAAGTGTGCACCCCTCATCGCAACTTCATCCACGTATGCCGAACGGACCACCCAAGCAGCCAATGCTGCGTTCTACGTAAGTCAGCGGGCCCAGAAGCATGAGAAAGTTCCACCTTCTTTTGTTGGTACCGTGTTGTATCAGACTGCAACCTGGCTCTCCATAGGTAGAGAACACAAAAGAGTAAGCTGCAGGACAGCTTGTTGGCTTCACATGCAAGCAGCCAATGATTTGCGTGTGATTTTCCAGCTACGGAAATGCAATGTGACGGTCCGGCGCATCACTGTCAAGGCTCTTTCAAGCGCCTGCTCCAACGCCAATCGTTAGCGAGAAGAGTAATTGACGGCAAGTACGCAGAACAAGTGCTGATACTCTCGGCACTGAGTGACCCAATAAGTGGAACATTGCAGGAGCTGCAAATTCGTCAAATGCTGCAAATCCTGTGGGTATTCGTGGAGTAACATAGGACGATTGATTATTCTTACTGCTGGGCAGAGAGCGTTAGAAAGACATCATGCCACTACAGAAGAACAAGGATATTCAATGAGTACCACGGGTACTCAGCATGGCCCAAAACCTTCCGAATTATTCTCACCGCCAGTAAATCCAGCTTGCAAAAGAACCAAGCGCTCGTGTTTACTTTCAAATGTGACCCGAAACAGTGAGGTTCATCGTTTCCAAAGCTCTTTGCTCGTATTGCAAGATCACCGCCGTAGCGACCTGACATGTATCTAGGCCGAGTTTCATCTTCGACGAGAAGCCGAAGTAGTCTGTGTGCGCGAAATGACTGCGCCAAAGAGGGAGGAAAGTTAGGCAGAGCGCGGTCGCTGGAAGTCCTCTCTGCTGCTTTTCCAAGACGCATATTTATGCATTAGATACTCACACGAGGCTGTTGGTTTACTTGAACCTGTTCCTCAAGTGGCTACCTGGCTCGATTGTTGATGGGCATGGCGATAAAGGCGATGAAGCTCTTAAAAGCTCAGTGAGTGCGTACGTCGAAGCTGTGGACATCAAAGAAGAGGCTGGAGAATAACCCTTGTGTAAGTACCCAGTCGCCTCCATAGTTCCTCACAGTCTTGGCAGTGTTTCACGAGGGGTATGAGAGGAATGTATTTTAAAGTCTTGTCCTATTGTGCTGAGTTCAAAAAACGAGTTGATGGCCCAATCATAGAGAGCCTGGATCTTTTCCTGCTTCCAACTATTCACTTCCATTCAATGCTCAAGTGATGAGCTGTAGTCCCTGTCCTCAATGATCTCGGCGCACGCCGTCTTCGCCATAATCTCTGTCCTCGTCATCTTCGTTGTCCTCGTCGTCTTCATCGCTCTCGTCATCATCGTCGTTCTCATCATCTTCCTCGTCATCATCGCCGTCATCATCTATTGAAATAAAACCGCCGTCGTGCATGCGATCACGGTAGTGATAAGAGAAGTATTCCATGAGATTGTTATAATCTCCCGTGTATCCATTCTCGATAATCATCTGGTTCTCCGCTTCAAGGCGCTCCATCTTGATGCCGAGAGATCTGGTCTGCTGCAGGAGAGTGGCCATACGTTGAGTCGTGGCCATCAGCACGGCCTCCAGAAAAGCCTCTCCCTCGATAGTTGTGCGGGCTAAAGCGTAGGTTTTGTCAATGTCGATTTGTTGACAGCAAACCTCCGCAATCTGAGACTGGAGATTGGCCTCATCGGGAATGCTGGGATCCAAGTTGTCATATGCGTTCTTGTATGTGTTGAATAGCCATTTGATACCCTCTGGCGATGATTTGTTTACCGTCGTCACTGCTTCATGCTGCATGTAAGTCAGGATAGACTCGGCCAGTTCAACACGCACAGGCTTGTTCAGCAACCGGTCGGCAAGTCGGTAAACTTCAATCACGGTAACGAAGTCCCCCGCATGTTCCCTATACCACTTGGTCATAGCTATGAACTCATCGAATGGGTTGCCGGTAGTCGTCATATCGACGATGCGTAGGTAAGCCTTGAGAACCTTTGGCTCGATATCGTCGAACTCTATGACGGAAGTTCTGCCCTCGACGAAATTGGAGCTGTTGAGGCATGCTCTGAAGTAGTCAGAGTCCTTGACCAGCTTTGACTTGCTGAACGTGAAGACTTTTTCGCCGCCTTTGAGGGTGACGCGCTCACCAGAATCACTAGGAGAACAACGGCTTAATGAACAACAACATATAATTTCCGCATCAAAGTGCCGTAATATTGAAGATTGAACTTACGGAGTCGATGATCGTGAGAAAAAGTCCTCATCACCGACATCTGTAGGCAGCGGGATGCCTACAGCGATGTGAAAAGCATCGGAGTCGGCCATCTTTCTCGAGAGCTTGGGGGAAATTGACTGTGGTCGGTAGGAAATGAGAAGAGAGACTTGTTAGCGAGAGGAAAAGGTTTTCAATTTATGAAAACCCAAGAGAACACAAAATAAGGAAATTTACAGAAAACCACCTGAATTTGGAAGGAGGGAGCGTCAGGTCTTTTGGGAAGGAAGGTACGGAAAAAAAGGCAGGCAGGTACCGGGAGTGCAGGCACCAGAAGGCACCTTTAGTCGGGTGAAAATCGGACAATGAATCACTCAGATCTATGTATCACATTATTCGTTTGGGAGCTTTCATTGTCACACAACACAGTAGATATTCTTGTATGTAATGCGGACAAACAGATTGTAAGATACACTTTGTTCTGGAGCAACTGCATTTTGGACAATAACACAAGGCTGCTCCCGTCACTGTTCTTCTGCGCCATTCTCAACCGTAGCCTGCCTTATTTCTTGTTTCTTATGGCCCGTAAGGTACTGACGCCTGCGCCCCCATTCTCCCAAGTGGTCAGATCAACTTGAGGCATACTCATTCATCGTCCAAAAGCTGTTGTCGACTAGTCCCCACCTTCCGTCATCAAGAGGGTCTTCGTCTCCAAATTCAAGCCCGGGAGGATTGAAGTGTGAGAATTCGTCGGATGAACTTGACAACACGGCAAGTCGCGCTCTCTCGTTGATATCTTTGCAAGCACTGTGAATTCTCTTGAGTCTTCCGTCATCCGTAGCCTTGATAAGACGCTCGAGTAAGAGCAAGGCTGATTCGACGTTGCTTTGATCCGTCAACCGACACGGGTTTTCTGGACAGGCCAGGCTGTTGACGGTGATGAACATTATACTTGTCAGGTAGCCGCATGACACTAGCCTACAACCACATTGTTAGTACCAACTGTGAGCATCGAAGAAGGAAACCCCAAATACCAAGTGAGAGCAGAGTCGTTCTCGGGTGTTGCAGCATAGAGATGCATACAAGTCCGCGCCTCCGTAACCAGCTTGTCCCAGCAGTTCGGTAGCCGCGCTGCCAGATCGGACCGTGCTGCCGGGGTGCTCCCTTTGCTACAGCTGAGCAGCCCTTGAAGCCATTCAAGATGGTGCGAGTCTGCGTAATGCGTTGTTGCGATGAGCTGTAGGTGGGTGTAGTGAAGTAGGCAAATGTATCGAAGGTACTCAGCGGCCACGGTTGCTGCTGCAAGCTCTGGCTGGAAGTCGATGGGTATTGAATTTTGCCAATTTTCCAGCATCTCACGGATGCGAAGCATGTTCTGACTCTTTTGTTGGTCTGAAAGCTTTAGAGCTCGAACGGAGAAACACATGTGGTAAAGCTTTCCCTGGATGTAGGCGAGCTGAACAGCGCTGCGGAAGTAATTGAACTTTTGGCCAGAGAAACCCATGATCATGCCTACATCATCCGGAGGATGTAGAGATGGAATGTCCACGTCAATTTCTGACTCCTGATGCATAGGCGGCTGCGTCAATCTCATTGATAGGTCGCGGTCGAGTATGAAGGCGATCCAAAAGACTCGACTCCTTTTGAGAGCCTCAGCCGGCTCGAACTCCTGCGCCGCAGACTTTGTATGGAGTTTAAGACCCTGGCAAAGCCTGATTGCAGTTGCTATCAGTATGGACGCCGGGCCCTGGTCCGCTGAGCCATGGAATACGAGCACCAGTCCAAGCAAAGTCTGCAAGACCAGCATACTTGGTTCATTGATGACCAATTTGTTCAAGACGGACTGAACATTGTCGATATATCGCTGCATATTCTGCGTCTCTTCGTAACTGGAAGCGTAGGAGTGCCGGTGTGCCAGGGCCAAGACAACGTTGATGGCAGCCCAGACGTCTGGTTTACGGTGCGCCGGATACGCGTACCAACTTCGCAGCATCTTAACGAAGGTTTCTCGCTCAAATAGAGGGAGCACCTGATTCGAGTTCTGAAAGTAGTCTTCTATCGAGGGCAGGATCTGACGCAAGGGCGGGAGTGTTTTGCTGGACTCGTGACCCGAGATGCCTGAGCCTGGGTTAGTAGAGGAGCCGGGTGATTCGTTGAGTGTTGAATCAGTATTTGTAGCCCAGAGATATTGCTCCTCTTCAGAGATACTTGCAGCCGAAGCGGGCTCCGAAGATGTCAGCGAGAATTCTTGGTTGGCTGCCTTGGACGAGGGTTGTTTCTGGGCCTCCAGTTGCGCCAGCCTTGCTTCCAGCATTTCGATCTTCTTGGCTCTATGCCGATTATAATGTCAGTTGATCGATCTTTGTGGCGAAAAATTCGAAAGTAAAGACCTACTGATTTGACTTCACGACAGTCGCCCTCGTCGGGCCTGTATAAGTGCACTCTGAGTTGTACAACTTGCAACCGGAACATCGGGGCTCTTTTCCATCACATTTGATCTTCTTATGATAACACAAATCGCAGGCCTGTACGGGTCAGGTTCTTTGTCAGTTCATGGAAGGCTGCAATCCCCCGGCTGAGCAGGTGTTAGAAGTTGGAACCACTTACCTTTCTCCTCCTGACTCTTTTGGGCTTGGATGTCTCCATCGTTTCTGTTAATTGCCAGAAGGTGCATGTGTGTCTTCGTACAAGTTCTGCTATTCGACGCGATATGAGATTAGCTCTCTGACGTTTTAGTAACGAAAGTCACGCTGTGATGAGTTCTTCGTGTTCTCTTGGATGGAGCCAAGTAGTCAAGTAAATTATGGCCGTGGCTTGAGGCCGGGACTCAGGAAGTTGTCTGATGAGACCCCGCTTACCAATGGATGAGCTAATCCCAATAGGGTTAAAGGTCAAGAACAGGATCCTCTGCATGAAGTCCCCCAGGCACCTTAATAACAATCACATAAGTTCTTCCTCAAAGCTGCCTGCTGCTCTACCAAAACACTCTAAACCTTGTGGATTTGAATGGGTACCTAAAAATAGGACCATAGTTGAGGAGCTAGAGGAGACAAAAGCAAAAGACGACGTTGGCCTGATTCGAACAGACGCTCCCGAAGGAACAAGATTTCTAGTCTTGCGCATTAGACCACTCTGCCACAACGCCGATTGGACAATCTCTGAAATATGGAGATGTCTCGAAGCTTCTGACATGTAGCTGATATTGAGTCTAGCATTAGAGGACGAACGCGATGTCATTTGCGCGGCTCCGAATAACGTCTGTTTGGAGTTTGGATGACATCTCTGAAATGTAACTCAAACTTTTACACTGTACCGTTCCTTGTAAACTCCATTCAGCGCACGCATGCACGCACCCTTTGCCTCGCCCTCATTTGCTGTTTGGAGATGCGGGGCACCGGTTTTTATGCCTCTCCATCTTTATACAATGAATCTCATATCAAATCAGTCACGTTAAGGATGCAACTTCCACATTGACCAGGTAACGGTTTCCCGGATTCTACTTACTTAGGATGCTCATGATGTAAACCACCAAAGATTGAAACATCTGGCATTTGCCAAATTTCAATACGGCTACAAGACGAATCCCCAGTCTTTGGGAGTACTAAATTCCAGCGCAATGTCTTACTGCTCAAACGAGCCTACACATCATGCAAGTCGTGGCGTTGCACTGCGTACAAAAAATCTTTGAATCAAACTCCTCGCAAATGGGACAGTCGGCTGGTGAAAGGCCCTTGTTCGTTGAATACCATCCTTTCCACCCATGAGGCCTGTTGTCCATGCATCCCGGCTGTCGCCCAGGAGGGACAAGTCGCACCTTATTGGGCGGACTGCGCGTTTTCAACTCTCTTGGCTCCACGGCCTTGTTGAAGCTATGCAAGTCCTCATTGTACAAGTCAGTAGTAGCATCCCGATCTCGAACTTGATAGCCCTTGGGAGTTTTGCAAACGTCTTCATAAACCATCGGGATCTCCGAACGTTCTTCTGCATGGTATTTGTTCTGAAGCCGGTGAGGTTGAGGCCGTGACCATTGCCGGCTGCTGGTAGAGGCTCTTGTCCCGGGGAGTTGCAAGCACTTCAGACCACCGAGATTTCTGTCGCACTTAAGCTTCTTTCGCCTCGTGCGCCGTTGTCTCCAAAGCAGCTTCAAGTTTCTTCTTGCCTTTCTTCAACTTTTCTTTCAGCTTTTGTTTGATACTTACGAATGTGACCTCCGATGGAACATCATCGTCGGACGTGCGTCTTTCCGACGCCGAAAACTTGCGGAGACGCAAGCTCTTGGCCCTGATCACGGGCTGTCTCGACTTGTCGCATTGCGTGCGCAGAAGAGGGTCACTGAGAACTTTGTAAGCTGTTGTGATCTGGAATTGATAGGCTTAAAAGTGTCCATGTCGGGTTAGTATTCTGTTGGCATCTTGATTTCTGGAGGCACTGGCCATGTCTGCACTCCGAGGTCTTCCCGCTTTGTCATATGCTTCATGCTGACTATACTAACGAGCTCTTTCCACCAGGCCATAAAACGCGTCTTCAATGTGTTCTTGTGTCGTATCCTTCAAAACGCCGAGAATACTGTAATGGTCGGTGGGCGTTGATGGATCCATCGTTTTAATACAAGTCAAACCTTGAATTACAAGCACTTACAAGCACCCAGTGGGAATGTCCATGATACATTAATACCACCAACGGCCGCGGAAATCATTGGGAGAGTCCTGACAAACGGTTATCAGGTGAACAGAATCTAGTTAGGCTCGGCATACAATGAAAGTTGACCAGAATGTCGCCTCATAGCATAAGTACAATGAAGATGATGAAGACGTTCATTAATAAAGTTTTGGCGTTGGACACCTTGCCGAACAATGGGGGACTCGAAGAAGTAACCAACTGAAGTTCGGCAAGAAATCTCATTGTCCTTTGTGTCCCCTGTAGACGTTCAAGTCCTTATCACCCTGCAAAAGAACAAAAGAAAAACGCTGCATAGAAGAAGATCAAGACGGGAAACACAAAAGGCAACTCCCGTAAAAGGAAAGGATAGATAGCACAACCTGGTTTCGATCCAGGGACCTCTGGGTTATGAGCCCAGCGCTCTACCCCTGAGCTATTGTGCTTGTTCGAGTTGTTGAATAACGAGACTAATCTTGAATTAATAATGCTGTCAAAAGGGCGAGTGAAAGTGTGACCCACTCAAGGGCCGCAAATTTTGCTGGCCCATCAGCTAGTGTGGCAGACAACTTTGGCCTCAGCGGCCTCAGCGGCCTCAGTGGAACAGTCATACCACGACATCAACTACCTTAATCAGGCAAAGCTTTCTGACTCTTGTGGTGGACCTGTATGGATAGATTGATCTCTCGAAAGCCAAAAGCTACCAGTCGTGAAAATGGAGATAGGAAGACCTACCGAGAAGCCGGGCCCACCAGAGATGGGTCCGGCAAAGTGGCCGAATCGGCATCGCGTGGGCGCGTGTCTGGAGAAAAGGGACAGAACCACGTTTCTCCCTAGCTTGTTTACCGACTTTTACAGAATTGTCGACCAGTCTTTATCTATCTACCGAACCATCTCTTGTTGAGTTAAGGTGGGCTTTGCGGGGTGAGGATCCCCGACGTTATCTTGGTGCGGATACTGGCCTTGGTGTTGGGGAAAAGGCCGATCACATTTCCCGAAGCCGTCGGGAAAACGCCACGACTACGGAGGATGACCGACGTCACCCGATGCAGTCAGCATCCGGTCAACGGCCGGAGGGCTGTCTTCTGGATGCGAGTGTTTATATCCGCCTCGTAGGCGATGTCATATTGACTCTTTTCGCAAACAAGCTCATTCGAATTCACCTGGGGCTGTAACGCAACGCGATCAACTAATTTGAATCTCTTCGTAAACTAAGCCTGAGAATTAGTCAGTCAAGATGATAACTCCTGTAAGTGGGCTTGAAAGCAACATTATCATCGTAGGTATCTGTAACTAACAATCTTCAGAGATGGAAACGGCTCGTGAGATTCATCGCAGAAGATGATTGGAGGGAATACATCGGCGAACCAGCCGACGAGACTGTCGACGGTATGAACGTTTCTTCCTGGTCAAGTCAAATCAATTGTCTGACACTCTCAAAAGTTGGAGCTGCCTTGGCCGCATCCCTCCCCGTACCGGTACGGGTTTTCACTGGAACCTCAGCCCTGGACGCCTCAGCAGAGCCAACATCGAGGATCCTCAACATCCAGAAACTTCTTCCGCCCCTGACACGCAAAGAAATCGGCACGATCCGCTGTATTGGTCTCAACTACCGCAAGCACGCCAAAGAGATGAACCTCGAACTCCCAGAACATCCAACTCTCTTCTTCAAACCCGCAAGCTGCCTCAACGCGTCAAACGCACCACTTCTCATCCCTCATCAAGCAACAGATCTTCAAGCGGACTACGAAGCTGAGCTAGCTGTCATCATTGGCCGCGACGCGAGAAACGTCAGCGTGGAGGACGCCATGGACTACGTGCTCGGTTACACGTGCTCCAACGACGTCACGGCGCGAAAGCATCAGTTCGCTGGTGCTCAATGGGGTTTCGGGAAAGGATTCGACGGCTTTGCTCCGACGGGACCGTGTATCGTCAGCGCGAGCAGCCTTCCAGACCCTTCAGTCATTGAGCTGAAGACCGTCCTCAACGGCGAGGTGATGCAAGAGGGTAGAGGGGACGACATGATCTTTTCAATTGCCGAGATCGTGGCATATTTGTCTCAAGGCACGACGCTGGAGGCCGGGACTGTGATCATGACGGGCACTCCTCACGGGATTGGTGTGAGTAGAACTCCGCCTGTTTTCTTGGCTCCTGGGGATGACCTTCGCATCGTGATGAGCCACGGCCTAGGAAGTTTGGTTAATAAGGTGGAATACGAGGAGAAACCCCGGAAGAATATGATAGGGGCAAACGGAGTTAAAGCGGTGAACGGTGTGAATGGAGTGAAAGAAGTCAAGATCAATGGACTCCATTAAGCCGAGAGAGCGCTCATAGAACATTGCGAAATAGACGCCACATATCTATCCGTTAAACATGCTAACTCTAACTTCTTTGTTATATCGACATTTACATCTCACTGGGGTCGCTGGTCAACTTAAGGGGCATTATGACATATCTTGCTTCCGGTCCCGAACTCCGAGAGCTTTGCCGCTTAAATAAGTAAACAGAGATTGTTTTAAAAGCCTCCGTCCTGCACGACTTAGAGTTTCCAGATCCCCGGAATTACCACTTGTTTCTCCACTGACAATGCGGGTATGCATAGCCGTAATGCACATGCCTTGCGGGACAACTCCGACATCTGGGGCTCCTAAGCTTTACAAGGCCAAAAGTCGGCCCAGACGGGCTTCTATGTTGTCCGACGAAATGAAGCTCACTACAGATACCGTCAATGGGTTTTTACGGAAATTAAAGTCCCGTACGCTTAAAGGCGATGAATTGTGCAACGAGTTGTGATGATGTTGCCATCTAAATCTGACTGGATTGGATGCTCAACGAATCGGAAACAGTTGTGTGTTGATCATTTCTCTAATAGAGAAGTTCCCAGCTCGTTAGCTTGAACTCTCGCAAGAATGGAATACGAGTATCTTAGTTTGGCGAGTCGCGCCCTGAATCAGTGGCCCAAGACTCAATTTAATTATACTACGTAACCGTGAAATCTTGCCCTGGCTATCCTAGTAGGAAATTGTATCCGTATGAAAAGCTTAAAGGATCTTTGCTAGCTACGAGTAAGGCACGGAGAAAGACAGGTCGGTTTATTGTGCAAATAATGCTTACTGTGCTGACTCGTAACTAACCGAAACCGACACCGATACTCGGACAGAGCGCATTGTGGACTGCAAAACAAAGTCAAAGTAATTAAATACAGCATCAGCTTTTGAAAGAGATTAATTGTTGTCGGTCTCCGGGGCAAGAAGAATTATGCCCACCGCTACGACCGGGGAAGGCAATGCCGGACGCCGGATGGCAATAATGCCGTATTTCAATATATCAGAAGTACAAATACCGAGCTAGACTCAGTTATCATGGCAGATAAGATTCTTCATCAACAGCCAATCGACCAGTCAGATACTCACTCTTTCAACCATCAAATCAGCCAACCAGCCAGTTCTCTCAGCAACTAAACAGCCTAGTCGCCATTATGCAGTTCTCTACCATCACCCAGCTGATCCTCCTCGCCACTGCTCCTCTGGCTATGGCCAGCGTTGCCGCTGAGCGCACTAGCAGCAACAGCGTCTTCGACGTCCGCATGGAGTGCATTAAGAGCAACTGCGGTGGTGTTGGAGCTGGTTGCGCCGGTGCCTGGGTAAGTCGCACTGCTAACCGCCAACCAAAATTTCTTTCGTTCACGAAGGCCACTTCGAGACCAGAAGTGGTCTTGTAGATGAAAGTGTTCGTTTGATACAAGTTACTAACTGTTTGGGTAGTGCTGCGTCCGCTACAACAAGGATGGCTGCAAGTGCATTGCACCAGGTGACATCTCCGAGGTAAGTCTATCCTCTCCTCATAAGACTGTCTTGACATACTAATTGACTACATCAGAACGGAGATAAGTGCCCTCCTGCGTAAGGGAACTAGGGAAAGCTACTGTGTTTGTGACGAGCGGCAAAAGCGAGTGGTGTTAAAGAATTGAGACAGCAAAATAAAGCATCTGAACTCTCAATTGTTTTTCCAAGAACGATAATATTCCCGGTGCGCAGTTTAGCGAGTCGACTTGACCGGTCGTAGACGAAGAGGTGATGGAAGGTCTGTTTCATATTCTTCTGTTCATGATCTTCCAGACCAACGCCGAATGCTTGGGATCCAGGCCGTTGTTGGACTTAGTTTGGTCTCAACAGCGAATGCTTGATTACTACTAGGTTGACTACTTCAGATGATACTATGTTTGGTTTCAACACCGAGCGATAGTTGCAACTGGGAGATCAGCTTGTCTTGAAGCTCTTGCACTGGTCTATACTTAGGTTTGCGACTTACTCATGATTGATCCCGAAGCTATCAATCTCTAATTCGTGCTCGGGTTACATGTTTGCTTGATCATGCATAAGAGTGTTGATAACATGCTCCCACTGAGATAAGTCCCCGCTCTCAGGAAGAAAGAATCCAGGATCATCCCAAGTCATCTGTGCGCTCGTCGTGCTGTAAGGAAGGCCCAAGCCAGCCATCAAAGGATCAAAGTCGGGACTCTCAACTGGCAACTGAGGATGTGTCTCCATCACTGGCGTCTGACCAACGGGCTGGGAGAAGCGCCTATTCGGCGAAGCCGACGCCAGAGCCAGCGGTACCAAGGTATTGGCTGCAGGCGGGTGAGACTGCCTTGCCTTCTTAACACAAAGCTCAACTATTTTGACTTCGGCGAGGGCAAATTCATTAAGCCAGACGTCATTTCTCTGCATCTCGCAGTAGGCAGATAAGTCCTCGAGAATAGCTTGAGACCGCCGAGAATGAGGGTCGCGGACAGCGATGATGCCCAGCACAAGAGCACTGTTGAACAGGTTGTGTGGTCCCAAACTCCACTTCAGCCGGTCATTGAGAGGTTGGTTGAACATCTTGAGACCCATGTCAAGGTCTGCGCAAGCGGAAGCTATGCATACATCGTGACTGTGTCTGTACCGATTCGTGATGGATTGGCGGAGAAGGAATGGTCGGTGTAGTGTGACTCTTGCGAAATGGTACATGCTATGTAGATGTAATCTCTGCCAGGGGAGAAAAGGAAGACGGTCGTCCTTGGAGATGTCCGGGTCATCTAACTCGAAATAGTGTGGTAGCCTGCCTCTCCAAGTATCGATCTCTTTGTCAAGCGTGAGAACAGTCTCATAGGAAACTGTAAATAGACCGAAACATCGCTCTTGAATCTTGCCTACGACAACGGCGAGTTCGTGAGCTAGCCGGCTGAAGACGCTCGCGGTTGGCTCAGAAAGGGGTGCTTCTGGGGCTGAGGCAGCCTCCTCGTCATCTAGGTCGTCTAGCCAGACATTGGAGGCCTGTTTAACAAGACATTGCTGATCAACAATAGCAAACGGCCGGCCGAGAGCTAGTGCTATGGTTTTATCGAGCATGTAGAGATTACTCCATAGTCGTCGCCTGGTCTCCGTTTCTTTCCTGGGAAGCCTCCACCGTTCACCGTCGATATGCATGCCCTGCGCTTGAGCCATCCGCATAGCGAAACTCGTTGTGAGCCAGGACTCCGGTACACGACGGGTGTAAATGAGATACCGAGTGACCAGAACACCAGCTCGCACGAGATCCGTTGACTCGCCGTAGAAAGTCGGGGCAATCACAATGGCTCTCCGAGCAGCCCAGTAAAACCGCTGTGATGTGTCATAGACCTCACGCTGAACCTCCCTGTTCCGTGGCCTTGGGCAATCCAACAACACCCCATAGGCTAAGACAATGAACAGCAAGGCCAGCCAGCGAAGATCAATCGTGGCAAAGTCATCAAAGCCGAACTTGCGAGACCAAAAGTTTTCGTACTTGGCTTTGAAGGAGGTTGGCTGAACCGCGTCAATCGCCCAGTTGAGCTCATTAAGGAAGCATTCCGTCAGCCTGTCGACTGTGGACTTCTTGCGCGGCAGCAGTCCGAGGAGATCCCAGATCTGAGAGAAGGGGCCATTCTCTTCTCGGAATGAATGAGTTGATCCCGCCTGGGGTTTTGAGCTGAGACCACTTGATAGCTCTGGGGCCGGCGCTTGAATGATTTTTGCCGCGGCTTGAGGGCCGAAATACGAAGAGCCGAAGAAGGATGGCGCATCGCGGCTTTTGAAGAGATTGCCGACGAGGTTTTCTGAGGACTGATCTTGGCCGCTACTCTCGCCTTGCCGCCCTCCGCCACGACTCGAAGATCTTGATGGGAAGGCCCTGGAACCTGAGGAGCTATCAGGTTGCTCAGCATCTTGTGCAGAGATTGCGTTTGTGGAAGGAGGTGAGACTGGGGTCGCTAAGTTGGCGTTTGGCGAAGTCATGAGAGGATCGCGTTGGCCTTGAGACACTCTCGGGCCATCGTCTTCGACTAAGTGATTATAGGAGCACAACGAGCCGACTCCTCGCCTTTCACAGTTGAAACATGGTCGCGAACCATTGCACTGATGAGGTGAAGTCAGTGAGATGATAGAATTTGGCTTAAAGTCTGAGTAAGCTCCGCAGGCCGTCGTCAAATTGAGTTCAGCATTGGCGCCGTCAATTATGTTTGCAGCAAGACTACTCAAAATGAAGTCTCAGCATAATGGTGCCTCATGTAGGCTGTCGGGAAATGAAAAGATAACTTCGATGAGACCATCGTATCGTGCCAAGATGAAGATGAGACTGCAAGCTCACTCACTCTCTGCTTTCGCCGATGACACGACTCGCACGCAACGGCATGCCTACCTCTCTTCCTCTTGCGAATAATCGGACTTTTCGGATTAGTCGTCCTGGGCGTTAGGGTATCCATTGAGAAGATGCTCGGACTGTCTGCCGAAGTATCGTCGCGTGCTTGCAAGATCGGGAAATGGGACTCTTTTGTACCGACCAGAGGGCGATGTCGGGGTATTCGAGTCACCAGAGAGACTTGGCTATCAGCCTCTCCACATTTTGCCGAAAGCAAAGGCTCGGCGCCTCTAGGCTATTCGCGGACTAAGAGATAAGAATCCTACATTCCCCGGCTTTGCCCCCGCTAGACCACAAGGATGGTCTTTCGATGCGACGATAAGCTTGCCAATTTCCCGATGCCTAGCCATGTGTGTCGGTCAAAGGCCGACTTTGGTTGATAGGCGAATGCAGTGACCTCACCGTGCCTTTGTGATGCATCTTTTGCATAAGGTAGATATATGCCCTTTGAGGGATACTATGTCTAGTCATATGGACATGCCGTCAGCTCTCTGCAGAGTCGCAACATATTTGCATCAATTCGCCTGATCGACCTAGACGTTCAACAATCGCCGGCCATAGAACAATGTCTTCAGAAAAGATGCCAATGGACGCCAAAGATGGTGATTTCGAGTCC